TTGTCGTGTCTATTTTTACTCAGCAAATGTTTTCACCAGATCTGATTGCTAAATCAGAGAGAGGCACAAAAAACAGAGAGGGGAACTTTTTTGCAAGCAAATGTCATAAACCCATGTAAACTGTCTTAGCAAGCATATTCAACCCTGTGAGAAAGGGCTACTGCAGTGATTGAGAAAACTTCCACTTCATGTTAACCAGAGCCCTGATGCTGAGTCTTCAGGTTTATTTTACTGTAGCATCTGTGAAGACTGTGTCAGCTGAACTGGGAGCAGGATTAGGCTCGTGATGTTCACACAGAGGAGTCCTGAATTATTCTGTTTCCAGCAGATGTTCTCTTAAATGCCTTCCTTTTACTCAATGTCATGTTTCAGAAGTGTGTGTTTCCCTGCAGAGGAACACCATTGCCTATGCGATATACAACGATGAGATCCCTGAATCAGACTCCAAAGGGTGGAAAAGTGGACACACCAAAGGTACAGGGAGTGTCCCAACCTACTATTTTCTCCTTTCCGAAGTTATGGATAGCATCTACTTGTCTGTTTGTCTACCTGCATAACTAAAATTCCTGCCTAAAGCAAAACTGGAGAATGATTTGCATGATGTGTGGTTTGTTGTATAGTTACATATGCTGCAGCTTCTGTTTTGGTATGCTTGTGCTGTGTGAAGGATCTTAGGGCTTTTGGACTCTTTGTTTCAAGAGTTGAAACTCATACAGATTCTTTTAGTGAGTACAAACCACGTTATCCTGTGCTTGATGGCAACAGCAGTACAAGATGTGAAGGGAAAGAAACCCTCAACATATACCCCTCCAAACTCTCTGGGGTAAGAAACTGCTGCCAAGATCATGGTATGCAGTTACAGAAAAACAAGATTTAGATATAAAATTCAGTGGAGGTCTAAATGTTCCCTTGAGGAAGCAGATGGGGTTTGCCCAGCCTGTCTTGGGTATGACCACATTTTGCAGGGCTGTATTTTCAGGCTACAGCAATGGGGACAGCTCAGGAGCCATGCTCTACCCTGGAGTAGCCTCCTGAGGGGGGAAGCGTAGCCCGTCTCTCTGCTGCTTACAATGGAAGAGAATTTGGTCTAGAAGAGAAGACACAATGTTGACAGAATCTATTTCCCCTTATCCAGTGAATATATGAAGGAAGGGAAAATAAGCAGTGGAGAGAGGGTCACAGTCAGAACTTTTGAAGACAAAATTTGAGCAGAGGAAGAGAGGTTTTGAAAAGATTTTTTTTTTTTCAAATGAAACATGATGACAGTTTGAGTTAGTCTATGCAGGAAAGAATTGATGCAATTTTAATACAATATTAGTGTCTCCTATGATCCATTAATCTACTCTAGAACCAGTTTACTGTAGGTATTAACATGTTCAAATGTGGTCTCCACAGCAGCAAAACCAAAGCAGGACACAGCTCTATTGTCTCAGGGCTTTTTCATCCTTAATTCATTAGCAGTAACTTTTTTTTTTACAGGATTTCTGCTCTTGGACAAATCACAAGGCTTCTGGGTAATTCACAGTGTGCCTCTGTTCCCTCCCATCCCCGAGGAAGGTTACGGGTATCCAGCTACTGGGGAGTCCTTTGGACAGACAGCCATCTGTATAACCTTCAAATATGACCAGTTCACTGAAATAGGTATGAAAAGCTTTGCCCTAAGAAAGCCTTTGTCCCACCACAGCTCTCTGATTGCTTTCCTTGAGGCTTCACCTCAAAAATTCATTGTTCTTGACCTTTGTTGTCAGATTGGGAAACCAAATGGGGCCTGGAGAGAGCATTCTTGGTTTCAGTTATGTTTATCCAATGATTTCCTGCGTGAATGTGGGAAATTCGCTCTTCCACTCTGTTTCCTTCTCCCCATGGGGATTATTAGGATAATAATAGTCACAAGTGCTTATCAAGGGTAAATTAGCCTCTGTATACGAAGTGCTTTGGAAACATAAAGTAGGATGATTAATAATTTTTAACAGTAATAGCTCATTCAGCTACAATCACCTGCAGTTCTAAAAATGTAAGGCAAGTACAGCTTGAGCTGAAGTAGTAGCCTTGACTCATCAGAAATATGAAGTATGAATAAATATCACCTAGAATTTCCCCAGGTATTTTTTGCCACAAAAATCACCAATACTGAATATATAAAAAAACCCCAACAAAATATATACGTGTAAGATTCAGAACTATCTGACAGTGATAACTGGTACTGGAATCCTGCAAAGAACTGTCAAAAGGCATTACAAGACGTCATGTTGGCATGCTCCTTACCTCTTTTCACACTGTTTTTTCACTGTTTTCTCAGTTACAAACCTCAAATCGTATTAATGAAGCACACATGCTGTGCAAATTGCCAGGGTGGCCACACCTTAGAGCAATCTAAACCAGGTTCCTGTTTGTGGAAACACATCTGTGCACGTGTTTAGGGAAAGAGGACAAGAAAATGAGATGCATACACTAGTGCTTTTCCTGCCTCATCCTCCCAGCTTCTGATAATCTGTGGTTCAGGGATTTCCTGAGCCAGAAAGACTGGAATGTTCCTGATGGACTGGTCTTCCCTGAACTCATCTAATGAGCCCATTTGTTCCCTAGCTCTTTATGATATCCATGGCAAGGACTTCTACAGTTAAGCTGAGCAGTGTTCAGAAAAGTGAATTTCTTCTGGAAATTCAATCCAGACGCTGAAACTCAAGTTCTGTTCTCCCTAAAACCAAACTAGACCCTTGGGCAGCTCTTCTGTTTGCATTTGGCTTGGCAGCTGTAACTGACTGGAAACCACTTCTGTAAATACAGACAGGTTTGGATTTACACATGCTCTCTGAGTGCTGTGTGGCTGCACAGAGGCTTGAAGATGAGCAGGGGTGGAAGTGGCAGTGGACCAAGACCACCAGTTAACAGTTCTGCTAATAATGAGGCGTGAGTGGAAAAACCTGAGCGTGCTCTCCCAGCCAGTCTATGTGCTGCAGAGCCACCTGGAATACAGAGCAATTACGCATATTTTTGGTTGGTAAAGTAAGATACTTTAATGCCAAACTCATCCAGAGGTAGGCTGAGAAGATTAAGAAGGACTTATGTTTCCTTTCCAAGGCAGAACTTTGCTCTCTTGATTGCTTTGCTTTAGCCGATTTTAATTCTGCTTATGTTCATTTCTGTGGGTTTTTCTCAGACCAACAGATGTTGAGTTATAATCCCGGAATCTACAGTTGTTCCATCCCTAACATCTTCCAAGCTGACCTCCCAAATCTGCAGAAGCTCTGTGCAAAGTCCAGGCTGCCTGTGGTCCCCTTGCGCCACCTCACCAAGCTCCGGTCAGCTCATGGGGAAACCTTTCTCCACTTTGCAAAGTCACACTCATTCATAGATGGTAAGGGAACCTGTTGCTCTATGTATCACACATTCTCAATTAATTCTTAATATATTAATTAATATATTCTTTGACAATTAATATATTCTTTGACAATTAGTATTTTCTTTGAGGAAAAAAAAAGAAGTTCAGCTTCACAAATGAATGAAACAGAGGGCAAGGAATGGTGTCCCAACTTAATATTCTCTCAGCCTCACAAAGCAAAAAGCTGTCTGGTCCATCCTAAGGTGTTCAACAATGATATTTTCAGAAAATTTATGGAATGATAACAACAAAGAAGAAATATGGGGCTTGAATCATCTGGGGTCTTTTTGTTATCAAGAAGATTTGCAATTTTTTTGTCCTTTCCTTTTTATCCTGCTGGTTGTTTGTAACAGGTTTTCTAGAAGGAGAACAATTAGAAATGAACTTCTGAAACCAAAGTCAAAATAAGGGGAAGGGGCAAAATCCCCTCTGGCTGACTTTATGCATTGCAATGAAACGAGCGTAATCTAGATGATGCTTTTGAGTCTGTTTTTAAATGAAGGAACCTGAAAGATTAATTTCCCACACCCTGTGTTATTCCGCAGATATCTATGTGGCCTGGATAGCTCAGGAACTGAAGACCGATTTGTTGGCTGAATCCTGGCAGCGTTCTGGCCAAAAACTTTACTCAAATTGCTCTCTCGATTACCACGTCTACAACATAAACCTAATAGGGATGCCATTGAATTCCACCTTTCATTCCATTAATGATCATTCCAAATGGGCTGTTTCAAGGAAATACGAAGATCAGTGGACCTGCATCGGAGACTTAAACCGTGCTGCCGAGCAAGCTTGGAGAAGTGGTGGGTTCATCTGTACCCAGAATGAGCACATCTACAGTGCCTTCAGGCACCTGATAATCCACTATGAAAGCTGCACTGCTGCTTCCACAGGGATATAACAGACCATTCCTCCCAACCAGCACAGCCCTTATTACATAGAAAGTGTGTGAAATATCTGCCTTAAAATCTATTTCCTCTGTGAAAAACGGCCCTGTGAGTTGCCAGGTGTGCTAGATCATCACCTTGTTGGCTATAAAAGCAGGTGGTGTGCAGGTAAATTATGGCTGGTTTGCTCTGGTGTGGGACCCAGAGGCTCTGCGTGTGCTGGGCCGTGCTATGCTCTCTGCTGGCTCCTCACCATCCGTGCTGGGATGGGATGGGACCCTGTGGCACAAGGCTGCACCAAAGCACATCACTGTGGGTGCCCTGCATGGGCACCCCTAGAGCAACTTGTGAGTTGGGGCTGCACATGGGATGGGAAGGACAACAGAAACCTCTCTCCTGAGCTGGGTTGTCAGGAATGGGCAGTCGGCAAGGGACAAGTACCCCAAAATACCTTAAAATCACCCCATATTTCAGGTGCTGTTGAGATAAATCACAGCATTTTTGCTCAGTTTGGGCTGAATCTCTTAAAGTGCTGATTAAATCCAGACAGGGAGATGAGTAGATCTGTGGACAGAAAGGCTTCATTTTTATGTGATTCATTTTTAGAGAATAAATGAGCTTTAAAGCATCTTTAAATATCTCTATAACCAATAGCTTGGGAGTATTTCTAGTGCTTTTATTCATGTACAGCAATCTTATAAACAAATAAACATGTTCAAAATTTGAATAAGCAAAATAAGAGAAAAAACAGTCTGTTGACAGTCTCCCTCTTCCATCTATATAGTTATTTGTGGTTTGTTACAATCTATATAGCTGCCAAGGGAAAAACGGAGACAATTAGGAAAAAAAAATAAAGAAAAGGGAAGAAAATATTTGAAGGAAGATGTTATTTAATCTACCTTTTCACATTACAACAAATGTGACTGTTAATTTTCAATATCTTCATTCTCAGGCTTAGGACCTGAAGTTTGCATGGAGTTGCTGTAAAGACAAGGCTAATTTGGAAAATCCTGATACATTCTTGGGTTCAGATTTCAGAATTGTGTCTGCATTAATATGTTCCTAAATATATTTATAGGGTTCTATCTCACTCGTAATTTTTTTCCTGAATTGCTGATATAAACTCCAGTCTGAAGAGTTGGCTGTCCCACTAATATTTCTGTTTTGCTGTGTTCCTAGTTCCTACCACTGGTTCTCCACAAGTGTCTTAAAAGGAATTAGACAGAAAGAAATGCCCCACAACCACAAGAGGTTGTCGAATAATGTATCAAGCCTTCATAATGAAGGGAACTGTGGAAGAATAGATTTCAAAATTAGCCAATCTGGATCAGAGGCAAACCCGAGTTTCATAGCTCAGTGAAAATAGTGTAGATAGCTTAGATATCCTGCACAAAATGTTTTTTTTACTCTTCTCTGCCTATGACATAACATTTGATAAATAATTTGCTTGGTAATGCTTTTTCTCTGATGCTTGTGAAATTGTTTAACATATACACCTTTCATTCTTTTGCTAGCTAGGGTTGAGCAACATCTTTTGTGGCAGCAAATATTGCCAGTGACACAGAACACTGCGCCGTGGGATGGTAGGGCTCACTCAGATAAGCCAAGATAGAATTCATCTCTCTTGCCCATCTTTTCATGGCAGACACTAACCTGACCTGCCTGTCTGAGCTCTGGCATCTTGCCCGTGGGTTTGTGTACACATGATCTCAGTGTACAGGGCTGGTGAGAAACCCTCCACTGGAGACAGTGCTGGTGAGGCTCCCCATGGTGCCTCAGAGAGCACCTGCACCTGTGGCACAACCTGTAATTATGGTATTTTCAAATGCTCGGCCACAGCATTTGGATTCACAGAGTTGGATAGCAAAGAGTCTCTGTCCCACAGGTTGTCACAGAAGTGTTGCCACAGCCCTGCTTCCCAGGCTACACGTCACCAGTCTGTCACTTGACTTTAAGTGCTGATTGCTGTTCTTAATTATTTGATCAATTGATAGCTGGCATAAGGCTAGACTACTTAAGCATTTACTAGACTAACTTAAGCATTCCTCTTTCAGTATACGCAGGAGTGGTTGCCTCCATTTTATACCTGAGGAGGTATAAAGAGCAGTAGGAAGGTGCAGAGAAACAGCTGTACCATACAGCAGTACAAGCACCTCAATATACAGACTCATTTCAGTGGTGTGGCAATAAACAGGCTGCAGATCTGGTTCTCTCATGTTTTAGCTGTAAACAGCTTTAATTCAGTTTTGCTATTGTTGTGTAACTTCAGTATTTGCATATCATAGTATTTCTGCTGCACACCTTATGAAACATGGGCAGGCTCTTTGTTTCCCAAAAGAGACTGATAATCAACAAAATAAACCAAATAGATTTTTAAAGGGTTTGTATCTCAAAGGCTTTCTGCAAATGCAAGACCATAAGCCACTTACTCAACCTCATATGCCCTCACAGCACGCGCTGTGATCAATCATTAGCGTGAAATACTTTTTGCCTATTTTATATGCATATATGTATGTATTCATAAAGTTTTTAAATTTAAAATACGCTGTTCTATTTTAAAATGCCAAACACTCAAGAAATACCTGCCTGTCCCAGTGATTCTGTGTTGCCTCTGCTGCCCACCATGACCCTTTTGACTGGGCAGGCTGGTTGCTGCAGAAGGGGACATGTGGCACAGCCCCTCTGCAATTTCAGGGGGATGTGCTCAGCAAAACTGACCCTGCAGGAGGGCACAAGCACTGGACCCTGGCCTGGAGAAGGAATAAAGCTGCTCTCTTGTCTGCAAACCTGGAGTACCTTCTCAGCGTGCAGGTATGGCTATTCTGACCCTTGGGCTCCGTTCTAGTTAGACTAAATGAGAACATTTATTATACGTGAAAATTGTTTGCCGAGGGAGTAGGAGAGGCCAAAAGAAAACATTATTAATCCACTAAACATTACCGTACTGCAGCCAAGTTTGTAACAAACACAACAGTAGGGATCATTGTTTGGTATAAATTGCCTTGTAATCATTTCCACAAGCTGAGGCTCAGTCCCAGCACGCCTGACACGCTTGCGGGGTGCAGGAAATGCAGATACAGTCTCCTGAAATACATGCCTGCCATTTGCATCTCCTGCCCTCACCACTGCTACTGCCACCCCAGAGCAAGGGCAGGACTGCTCAAAAAGCCGTGATGATTTTTCTGTAAACCCCTGTATTCCTGAGGATGCTTCTCTAACACTGGTAACTGTGGGTCAGTAGGGCAGTGGTTTGCTGTGTTGGAAAGTGCAATTTTACACAGACTTAATGCAAGAGGTCAACGGATTTGACATTGAAGAAAAGCTAAACATAAAAAAAAAAAGTGAAGGCTTAAATATTTAAACTGTGTGAGGTTTAATTCCAGCTGGGCAATTACAATAAACTGGAACACAGGCAGAGGCATTGCAGCCTGAGCCCACTTCACAGAGCAGCCTTTGTGATGGAATTGCTTCTGGTGTCTCCACAATGACTGAACATACCCTGCTCTCTCATTACGGGAGTGATGAACAATGTAGCTGCCCGCCAGCAAGTCAAAAGAAGCTTTGGGAAAAATTTCTCTGAGTTTTCCCTTCTCCAAGGCATGCTAACTTAGCCTGGTGCTTGGACTTGTCACAGGGGTCCGCAGGCATCCTTCTGAACCAGAGCAAAGTCTGCTTCAAAGTGTCCATGATGGCACTTTAAAGTACAGCAGTCCTGCACAAATTAGGTTTTGATCATTTGATCATCAGGAGGTTTTGATCATTTCACTGTCAGTAACACCCAATATTCCAGCTGTCCTTACAAACCACACACAGTGCTCCCCTCTCAGCACATTTTGTGCAGTTTTCTGCTCTCAAAAAAACCCCCCCAAACCCGGGAAGTTTCCAGTAAACACATCTAATGTAAGCGCCTGCGTCAAACAGGGCTTCCTCAGCTTCCCTGCAGCATGAATGGAGAAGGTTATTTTTACAAAGACATATGGGCCTCTCATCCCTCTTTTGTTTAAATGTACACAGTCCTGGCTTCTGACAGTAGTGAAATGCTCAATAACATCATTGTGAGAAACGTTTTTAATGTATCAAACCATCCTTGGCATTATTAGCATAGTCACATAATTATCCATGGAGAAACTTACACCCATATGTTAACGCCCATAAAGTATTGTGTGAATCTCTTTTATACCTTTATTTTCAGTTTCTGGGAAAGATACCTCACTGGGTACTTAATATAGCAATTGCTTCAGAAGGTGTAAGCTGCCTATGCCTGCGGTGAAATGGTCAGGAGGCAGAGTAGTGCTGGCAGCGTCATCTGAAAGCTCAGTAAGCCACAGTCTAACTGTGCTCAGAATGTGATGCAAGAATATGATGCACCTCTTTAATTTCACAAGAGATTTCTTAAAAAGACAGGAATTTAAAAACGAGAACGAACAGAAACTGATGGTAGGCTAAGTGTGAAAAAACACCTTGTAGGGAACAAATTCTTCATAGTACAAGGCAGAGAGCCTGATCTGAAATTCCAAGCTGGGATAGCAATATCAGTGTTTTCTAGATATCCTGATACCCTGAGTATCTTAGCCGTATCTGACACTTTTGTATTTAGACTGGATATACCAGATTAAAGATCTAATCTGCTGAATTTTCTCATAATCCTTACAAATTTGGCATGAAGGCAGTAAAAGAAGTTGTGTGTGAACCCAGAAACCGGTTGTAGCACTTTCAGATCTTGGCCTCAGACAGCATAATCTAACTTTTTAATGCAGACCCATTGTATGCTTATCTTTAGGGTTTCTAAATTATTTATCCCAGTATTACAAATATGCTATTCTATGCATATGTGATATGTTCATTTTACTAAAACTGTTAAATACAAAACATTAGGGCATGAGAAATATATCTCACTTTTTATAAATAGCTGTGTTACACTTTTACTCAAGTGATTTTAGTAAATCCTTTTGATTTTATTTTTTTCATTTGCCTTTGCTTGACATTTCTTCCCAAGGTGTCTGGTGACTATTCTGATTCTTCTGTAAGAGAGATAAAAGTAAGGAACATTCTTCCCCTCCTTTGATCACTTTGCAGCTTGGGAACTGCAAACCCATACTCAAATATTCAGAGCTTACAGGAGCAGAGCATAATATTTAATGTTGCATGCTAGAGTAAAGGCAATTGCTACAAATGGTTCACTGTAGTACAGTAGTTCTAGCATTGCCTAATTTATTAATCATAGAAATGTTGCATGCAAATTAGCCACAGAGTTGTGCATCATAATACAGTAATCCAAAAATCTGTCTTCACATGTATTAATGCTCGTAAATTATGGATATCACACTACAGCATTACACAGTTTCCCCATTACATTCCAAAACTTGCCGAAAGCTTACTAAAAGCCATGTTACCGAGTGTTTTCTTTTTGTTCCTTACTTCTGGCTTTCTAAAGTGTGAGAGTATTTAGCTGCAGGGCATTTTTGTGTCTTCCTTTTCCCAGGGTTCCTTTTTGGGCTAACATTCCGCCAGCCAAACATCAAGATTTCTCTTGCTATAGTGCAGTTTAAAAACATATTTTGCTCTGGTATGAGTGTGGTCAGCACCACTGTCCTCCCCTGCTCTGAAAGCTGCTCCATTTCACGTCCTGACCTTGTAAATCCTAGGCACTCTCCAAGGGAAATCTGCATCTTTTCCTCTCTTGCTTTCTTAATGCTCCAAATATTTCTTTCAGGAAAGTCAAGGTGAGAATAAAGGAACTGACAATGTTGCATGGAGTATTTTGCAAAAAAAGACCATGAAAGAATTTCTGCACAGCAAATAGGGATAATCTGTGCAGTTGTATCCCCAGCCACTCACCAACTTGCCCTCCTCTTACTGTCAAAAGATGAGAAGAAACAGAGAAATGGGAGCAAAGAGAGTTTGCAGGAAAAAGGGAGAAGAAGGAATAAGACAACTGAAGGTGAGCAAGACAGAGAGAGCAAGGCAAGAGCAGAAGGAGCGTTAGGATTGTCAACACCAAGGAGGTCAGAGACCTTGAGTGTGATGACAGAGACACATTAGGAGTTAGCTATGCAAAAATCCAGTTTACAGGATATTTAATTTACTATGATAGATACTTAACATTTATCCATTTTACAGATACAGTCTCCACAGGCTACACCGCGGAGATAAAAATGAAAGGCATAAACTGAAGTGACTTAGCCAAGCAGTACAAAAACACAAACCAAACCAACACCCGAGAGGAAGTTGCTGCATCTCTGTCACCAAACTACAAGAGGTGAGGTAAGGCAAAGTCAAAAGCATTAAATAGGTGAAAGTAGGTGAGAGAAATTCATAAGCTAAGTTAACCAGTTTGAACCACACGTATTTGAATAAGATGCTAAACCACTCTTTTAAAAGAAGGAAACTACAATTAAGGTTTAAAGCCAATACAAAAATACAGTAAAAACAAGAGACGCAAAACATTCATAGGAGTAACTGCGGATCATTTCATTACAGCTGGTGATGCTGAAGTGAGCTGCATTCATTCTTGTAGTATTGAGAAAACTGCAGGCAAAAAAAGTAATACAAATACAAAAGAAAATAAACAGAAAATACACAGAGATAAGAAGACTGATGCCTTTAACACTTTGCTTTGGGTATTGTTATTACAGATATATTTACAACATATGGTCTGTTATTGTCAGGTTAAAAATCAAGTTTTATTTAGAAACCTCCCAAGCTTTGCGTTTTCTTCAGTATCATCTCTGATCCTACTTTGCTCTCCAGCACTAAACAAACTACCACTGGTCTAATATAGTAGTTTCTCACTGCACTTAGTGTCAAAATCATTAAGTATTCCCAGGTATTACTTACTGTCACTTGGCTCATGGTGGCTGTTTTGTCACCTCCCGGTCTTGAGTCCCACAGAGGAATAATGGCAGTATAGAAGCTGTAGCCCTATAAAAAGTGTCATGTTAATATCAGAGGAGGAGCTAGCCATAAGGGGTTGGCTTCACAAATGTAAATATTTAATAATTTATTTAGCAACATGGCTTTTCTTTTTCCCCCAGGCAAAAACTTTAATAAAGGAATAGGTCTGCTGCAACAAAGGAAATAACAGCAAAAACAGAGACAAGGACACATCCTAACCCCACTAATATCAGCAGGAATTTGCCTTCATCTTCAGTGGGAACAGAACTTCAAAGACATGGGAATCACCTATAAAACCTGAAGGGTAAAATCTGAACCTTCCATAGTCTATGACACAAACTGTGTTTAGAGGGTGATAGCATAGTCCCGACACGATGAAAATGTCCCTAACAGGAGCTGCACTCCTTGGCCTGACCACAGCCTTGTCCCCAGCACTGCCAGGGTGGCTGCTAGGACAGACCTCAGAGAGGTCTCATGCACAGGCAGCTTCTCTGAGAGAACTTCTCTGAGGCAGGACTACACAGGAGCTGGCCAGAGATGAACTTCCTTTTGGTGGACACTGTCTCTCTTTGTTCATGGCTATACTTTCAGTGCCCAAGTCAGGAAGAAGTGATATCCCCACCTTTAGGGGTATATTTTTTTGCATCTCAGTAACTTAAGATACTCTTTCAAGGCCTGTCTCTGGCAGAATGAAGGCTGAAAGCTCTATCTCCTCAGTCCTACTTTGTGTTGTTAGAACTGAGGAAGATGGGCTGTGTGGATATAAAAACTCTTTTCTTCTCTAGGGAGATTTAAGATCTCCCTAGAGGACTAAGAACATCTTCTGGGTGCACACTGCTTTCTAAGTGCTGTGAATGTGGGAAAGCCAGGAGGAGGGAACTCATTCCTGAGTACCTCTGCAGGTCTTGTTTTGGTACTGGCACCATGCAGCAAAGTAGAAATTAAAAGAGCAGAGATACCGTTCTTCTGCTAACAGCAGAATTAGTTTCCCTCTCTTTCCTTTGGATGGCTCCTTATGCTTCTGTTGCTGGGAGCACATAATGCAACACGGTGTCAAGTCACTGTACATGTGTAATGTACAACCTGGAGAGGTTGTTACACCCTTGATGAGTGAGTTTATCTGTTCCTCATGGTACTATTTTAACTTTGTGAGAAAAAGTACCCCTCTGTCCTTCATTATTCCTTGGTCACCAAAATCAGTCTGACAACACAGACTCTTTCAAATAAACCAAATTCCAAAGAATGGTAGGTGTTTCAGGAAAACAGTCCATAGCAGTGTGTACCCTAACTAAGGCCTCTCCACTGATTTCAAATTCTATTTCAGATGTTTCATGTGGCATCTGCACCACCAAACCATTGCAGGCTGTATCAAGAAAGCAATGGCAAACACTTTCAGAAAAGCACCTTTACAATAACTATGTTTAACATATGCTAGTATGTCTGTGTATTGTGTACTGATTTTCAGTCTCTGGGTGTAAAGACATTAGTGTAAGATTAGTAAGTTACCTTTAATAAAGCCACAAATATGACTATGAAATAGAAGTTCATGCATATTTTCCATACATTTAATTTCTTAAGGAAGCCTGTGCCTCTACTGGAAAATTATAGGGAAATTTCAAAACCTTTGCTCTTTGCAAGTTAGACCCACGTTGTATGTCAAAATATACAGTTGGGTTTTTTTGAGAGAGCTAGCATTTCTCAGGGCCCTGCTGGTACAGAGGACTTGAGATTTCAAAACTTCTTTTAAAATAAAATGCAGTTTTTCTTTAATGCTAAATTCCTTTGGATTCCAGCATCCTCACTGTTAACAATCAGCACATTTACAATCAAAGAAGTGAGGAGTGAAGCATGTGGTTTGGCTGCTTTCAAAATCATATGCTTTGAAAATGCTATTTCAATTTGTGGGTTTAGCTTGGTAATCCAACTGAAATGACCGTCAGCTAGACAGATAGGACAGTAAAGGTGAAACACAGTATCGCAGATAAGAAACTAATCTGTATTTCATGGTTCCCATCTCTGGGTATATGAGCCCAGCTCTTTGTGGGATCAAGTGACACTTAAACATAGCACTATTGAGCACAACTGGTTTGATTATCTTTGTTAAACTGGTGTGGTAAAGGCAAAGTGAAACCGTGTGGCTTCGTGGCCCTCACCACTTACACCATAAGCAGTGTCCTCCCTAGGCAAGGGCAGTTTCAAGGGCTAACAGCATCTGAAGTAAGTCCAGTGTAAATTAAATGTAGTGTTGCGTAAAGCATGACAATAAGGTCAACAGAGTAAAAATTAGAAGAGCTAAACTTTAGATAAATTTATGAATGCACTGTACAAATTAATACATATTTGTGCAAAGTATTCAGGAGAAGAGAAATATATTTCCTCTGAAAGGATGTAGGTGTGGCTACTGCAGTGCACCAAGGAGATTAAAAAAAAATCCTGTTGCTGTGTTCTTGTTGTGTTTGAAGTAATAATTAGACTTTGGCGTCAAGTTTGAATGATAACTATTACTTTCTTCACACAGATTTTCTAAGCTTGAGAGACCAGTTTTCAAAAGCTCTTTAGCAAAGTTATTATGTTGCAAGCATTACTCCGACAGAAGAAACTGTAAAAGGATGATCAGAAATAGTCAGGGTGAGTCCTGGTTTTTCAGTACCTTCTCAGGATTTGGCTTCAAAAAGGAAAGTCAGCTTTTCTGACAGTAATCTTTCATAATTAGAAATGAAAATTATGCAGTTGGCAAGTTCTCAACAGCCTTGGAAATTGGACCTAATACATTCAAAGGCACAAGCCTTTAAAATATTTCACATGTAGACACTGTTAGCTAATGTTCTCAATTAGAATGCATGCTTTTGTTCTTAAAGAAAACCACCCATGCTATTTTGTTTACTGCTGATACAGGTTTGTATCTGTTAATGCTTTGAATTTTCTGATTTGGATACTCCCAGAGGGAGTACTTTAAACTCCCATAGCACTGTGTCCCAGATAGCATTACAGTAAGTCTTGCATATGGCTGTATGAACATACTACTTATGAAGAGAAGCTTACACCTGAAGAACTCTAGTACTGTGAAATAAAGTATTCAAAAGTGAGGAAGTATAGAACTACATTTGCCTGTACAACTTTGATTTGGCCTGTGTATGACTATCCTTTACAACTGGACCATCTTTTTTTTTGTGTACAAAATCTGCAGCTTTCTCAGATAATATGTAGAGGGTTTGCTGGCTTTTAATCCTTTATATTAAGTGTGTAGTCTTCTGGTTTTATTTATTGCTCATTATCCAGCTCCATCCCAGAACTTAATTCTGTCACAGGAGTTTCCCAGAACTTAATTCTGTCACAGAAATTTGATACGTCTAGCTGAAAGAACAAGTGAGAACAAAATTTTAAATACCAGCCTCAGCCTGGATAAAAGCCTGGAAACTTATACATTTAGTTGTTAAAAAAAAAAAATCTGGAATGACATGCTAATAATCCTTGACAGAGGCCTGCGAAGAGACTACAATCATCTGAGCAGTATATTCTACTTAAGCTTTAAAAAAAGTACAACAGAACTTGCTATTGATAAATAACTTGTGTGTAGGATCCAGAGCAGTTTTGTTGGTATCTGCAGCAACGCCATCACTCCATCTCTCAATGATTTTGTGGTTGGCATCATATCCACAATATCAGCCTTGCAGGTTGTGTAACAAGCTAATGATGCCACCCTTAAGGAAAAACATGGAGGTGCTTGTAGGATGACAAGGTTCCACCACACAAATACAGTAAGAAATAATTGAGATTAGGTGAGGCTGCAGTCAAACATGAAACATTAAAATACTGTTTACAAACAAACATAGAACCAATTAAACTGAATTTATGTAAACTATTTAATTAGCAGATTAGAAAGCCTGATGTTACATGTGTGATCTTCTAGTCTGACTTCCGGTATAATGGAGAGCAGATTTTCCTGAACTCATTCCTGTCTGAACTAGATTGTATCATTTTGAAGGAGAAACATACATGTTGATATAAATATCAACAGAAAAGTTACCATAATTCTTGGTAACTCTCTCAATGATTAATTAGAGGTAACGATAAATTAAGGTTGCAGGTCTGGGATCTTTGTCTCCCAGAGCTAAGGCATGGATTTTTAAACGGATGTTTACAACACAAAACGGTACATAAAGGGCCCCTATTAACCTTCTATTTGATGAGCTAAATAGATGGAACTCTTTGAGCCCCATATTAGAAGGAGAGTATCTCTCAGTCGTGTCTCATCTCTATCCTACGAAATCCTTCTAATTTTTCATCACTTTATTTGAATTTAGGACCCAAACCCCATTTACAACATTCCACTTTTCCTTGCATTGGTGCCAGATACAGATGAAGTATAAATCTCTCTATTCTTTCTCAAGATTTACTTGCTTGGGCAATCAAGAGTTGGCTTCCCTGTTCTAGTCACCACATCAGAGAATAGCAATTGGGGTCTATTAGTCTCCAGTTGCTTTTCAGTGACTTTGCTTCCCAGTAGAAGACTCCCTAAGAGATTTGCTGGGCTCTTGTTCTTTATAGAACATATGTTCTGCTTATTTATTTGTATAAAGCAAAAATGCTTTCACACAAATTTTGTAGGAGAATAAGGCACAAAGGGATGTGTCAGAGTTACCATGAAGTTATTTGTGAAGAAAGAAACTGAGGACAGGACAGATCTCCTGAATCCCATATTGGCACTACAGCACTGCACATTTCCATGGGAGGCTGAATTGCAAAGGCCATGGCCAGATGCATTGTCAGCTGATGGATACAATCCCAGTACTGGATTGAATGCTGTAATTTCTTTCCAGATGTATTTAAAACTCTTCTGGTTCAATAAGAAAGCAGAGCTTGAAGCCTAACTCTCTCCTGCCAAAGGTAACCATGCCATACCTTCTCTTTCATAAATAATCCCACACAAATTTAGGAAATGAAGTATTTTCCCAAACAGGAGAAAAATATGATCAATTTGGAAATATAGACAAATATTTTAGCTAATCAATTTAGCTAATTCTTCCCTGTCAATTTGTACAGTTACTTTTACTGAAATGGTGCTTTTGATTCTGTCCTCTGTCTCCTACTACAGGGAACAAAGATTGTCTTCAGCATCACTCTGTGTTGGGTAAAGCACCAAACTGGTTGAACCATGCAGACCAAGCAAAAGAGATCCTGTGATAAAAGGTCTAACTTAAGAGCAGATTTCACTATGAGTTTAATTTCTTTGTTCAGTCAAACCCTGTGCACCAGACAGGATTGGCTCTGACAAGCTTCTACAGAAAAATGATCCCAAAGAGACTGAAATCTAGGCCACAGCTACGAATAATTCTTCGGAAGCTCTCTGGATTTCCTGGAGGGCAAGGTGTGGCTCTGTGTGTGGGAGGTAAACGCTAGTGTTCTTCTGTTAGTAGTAATTAGGTGCAGCTTGAGTTTCATTAATAAGAGCTACATATGCATGCTGGAAAAAAAGTTTATCTGACACTGGGATTATATGTTACTAGCTAAATGCCTTACGTTGTGTGTTATCTTTGTTATTTTGTGATTAGCACTTAAAAATGTCCATAATATTTTATCAGCACATAAGAAAAAAAGTTCTGTTACTGAGAGTTTATAATATAAAAGAGAAAGAAATCTCCTGGTAAATCTCCAAGTTATCCTACCAGTCTGTCTAACATTTTAGAACCACTTCTTGCGTTAGCATTTGTTTTTATTAGCTTTAGTCATTTTGCTTTTGATGTTGTTTATAATTACTGCCAAATGCAAAAATAGTCTTTCCAGAAATTTACCATGAACACCCAGCACTGAAATACCAGTCTTAAAGATTTGATAAACCAGTAAAGAAACAGAATCTTATTGGGGAAAAGGGCTGGGTAGCCTTAAATAGAAGAGATTCTGCAATTCTAGTGACTATTCATCAAAATCTAGTGATGCAAACAGGAAAAAAACCAAACCTGTAATGTAGCTAAAAATGCCTGTTAAATTATTTTAAAAGTCCATTCGTTGCAATGTTCAATCCCATACCATCTGAATATTATGGCAGCTATTCTAAAATTCTTATAAAACACTTGAAAGGGTTTTTTACTCCATTTTGAGGTTTCATAGCATCACAGGTTTTCAGGCCAGAAGAAAGCACCATGAGTCTCCAGCCTGACCTTTTGCAGGGTACAGGTGGCAATTAGATCAAGTGATATATACAGCATTTCTGGTGGAGATAGAACACTTCCTTTGGAAAAACAATCCACCTTCTTGATTTAAAGATTTCAAGTGGCAAGAAATACTTCCCAGGCCTATCGATTTATTTTTTTTCCATGGCTTAGTTAGTCCAAGGGGTTCTCTCTATGTTTTGGTTTTGTTTTGTAATCAAAAAATGGCTCAGCTTTCAAACACTACATCTTTTAAAAGATTAGTCTTCTCAACTGAAGATTTCTATGATTATTCTCTTTATTTATGTAATTCAAGATGAGTTAGTGCTTATGTAATTCATTGATGGGCTCGAGATTAAGGTTTTGAAGCGCCTGTAAGAAGGGTTTCTAGATCACAAAGCAACCATAGACTGGTTAACCAGGTTCTCAGTTTTTGTCTCGGTATCAGGACATGCTGCTCCACCAGCCAACCCCTACTGCTACAGTGCTCTCCACGTGGATCCACACGGATGGCATTGCTGTGTGTTCTTACTTGCTTTTCTGTAGTGCTGCTTTTCATAGTGCAGCCCTCCATCAAATAGCTAAACTATGGTTTTCTTTCCTAGCAATATTAGCCTGCACTTAGCTATACTAAAATACACATTGTTCAAGGTAGCTCACCTTTCCAAAGATGTACTAGTACTGTGGACTAATTCCTTATCACTGAAATGTGTTAAAATATTTAAGCAATATATTTTGCTTATTCTTGATAACATATATGTTGATACCACGAAGTTAAGAGTGATCTGCAAGGGGAACAACAGTTTCACTTGACACCTTTTACTTTGTAACAAAATAGTTATACTTTTTTAGTACCTTTAGTAGCACAGGCAAATTGTGTTGCATTAATTTTGATCAAGGAGAAAATTCTTATATATTTGGGGGCAACCTGCATGCAGAAAAAGAAACAAAATTATTTGCTATACCAAGTTCTATTTATTTCAGCAAAATTATTCCACTACTGTACAAATATGTCCTAATGTAACGTAACAGAAATTTAATAAATAAAATGAAAACACAAAGTAGCATATTCTGAAAAATATCTGGCTAGAAATGAGTCATATTCTAATCTTGGATAAACTCCCTCTTTCTCCCTACGTGAAGGAATGTTTTACTAAGGCTGCTCAAGCTATTTTTTATCACCATCAGCAGAGAGATACAAGCACCACTTCCTACAAAGAGAACCACACCCCTCAAGAAACACAAAGTTTTTCTGCATACCCAAATAATTGATGAAATGTTGCCATTGTCCCTTTTACAGGACAGTTCTTTGGAAAAGGACAGTGATCTCAGAAGCAGCACAAGGAATTCAGCAAAATACCAGGCTGGAAACAGTAGATGCTTCTTCAGTACTTTGCCATGGGTAGCTATTGGATAAACTTCTGAGAAAGTGTAATGTATCAAATTACAATTTTGTTGTTCATAGAATTTCTATTTGGGGAAGTATTCCTGTTTTCTGCATTAGGCACTTGAAACTCCAGCAACCTCCATTACATTTTTTTCCCCAGCTAATATACAATTAATGCATTATCTAGTAGTTATAATCTACTAACTAACCAGAAGTGCTGACAGACTTATAGTAAATCAAACACCCAGTATTAACAAGGCTGATCTGGTTATCAGTTTAAGATAATGGCCAGCTGTGCCATCTTGCTAAATCCTGTGGGAAGAAGTTATTGTAATGTCGGTTATAACTACATGGTTACTACTGTGTTGACATCCGTACATAAAGCAACTGTGAAATAATTTTTTAAACTCTAACGAGTTTAAAACTCAACAGTCATATGTAGCAGACTAGGGAATTTCCATAATTTTTAAATAATACATTTGCAAGGTTTTTTTGCAAGAATACCGTGTAAAATGCCTTCTTTTTTGAAATGCTCTCCTTTGCTTCATTTTTCCTGAGATTATTTAAGTCTTACTCTGTCGGGCTTCCAAAAGCTTAGCTTCTTTTTCTTTCTCACATGCACATAGACACACGTTCTGAGATGTTTGACACAGACATTTGAATGCATCACTGATTACTGCTCTTTGCATGGTACAGCAAGAGGGTACACCAGGCTGAACTGCTGCACCTTCAAGAAGGGCAGGATGAGAGACCCAGAGAACTGCAGGTCTGCCAGCCTCACCCCTTTCCCCAGGATGACTCTGGAGCAAATACTCCTGGAAGATATTTCCTAGCACCTGAGATACACAAAGGTGATTGAGAACAGACGGTGTAATGTGGCTTTACCAAGGGCAAACCTTTGATGGGAAGACTGGCTCAACAGAGGAGGAAGAGCAGTGCTTGCTATTTACCTTGACTTTAGGGAGGCCTTCAACATGGACTCCTACAGTGCCCTTACAGTCAATTTGGAGAAATATGCAGTGGAAAAATGTACAAGGTAGATGGATGGGCTGTGCAGTAAAATGGGTGTTGATCAGCAGTTCTGAGTTCACACAAAAAGGTGGCTGGTTACTACTGGTGTTCCTCAGGGACCCATACAGAGGCCAAAACTCTTACTGCCCTTATTAATGGCCTAGACAAGGTAACAGAGTGCACTCTCAGCACATTTAGGAATGATACCTTTGGGGGACATGGATGTCAATAATCTGGAAGATAAAACTGCCATTCAGAGGGGCCTTTGTTGTTTTTTTAACATTGTTTTGTTTCTTAAGCCTAGGACTTTTTACACAAAAGCATGAAGATTGTAAAGAAATTCTCTAAAGCAAAAGCATTACAGAATGAAAACTAAGAGAATTTCATTTGGTCCTTATTCAGCCATAGCAAAATTAACTTTTTTGGACACTCAGTCCGCATTTCTCATTTGCTGGGTTGTGAACTTGAGACGTGGAATCTGGTATCTAGAATGATCCTGAGCATGGTGACATTAATTGTGAACCTAATTGAATATAGTTGTGGTTTAAATGCATAGTGCTAAATATTCACCAAATAACCTCTGGGTATCTTACACTGGGCATTCTAAATTCATAGATATGTTTAATAAATTTTGTTTTGACAAAATGGTTTAATTTTCTCATCCATATAATGGACATCATGCCTTCTTTCCAATAAGCACCTTAATGTTTGTACACAGCTCAGGTACTGTAAACAAGAGTAACCCAGAAAAGCATATGAAAATAATAATTTTTTTTTGTGTTAAGTAATGGGATGAGGACAGGCATTGAGAGCACGTAGTAAGATCTAGTGTTAATTCTAAACGTTAAATAATACCCAACTTTATCATGCATGATACCCATTTTATCCATTAGAGAGATTGCCCTGGGTGACTGAAAACACTGAAATTAAAAGACTGTAACCAAGATCCACTAAGGAATGCAAGCCTCTAAGTCTCAAGCAGATGATCCCGAAAACTACTCACGCAGTTCCTGTGTAGGCACCTTGTAATTTTACTTTGCTCCCCTATGAAATGCACCCCTGGAGAAACAGCTCTGGGTATGCCTAAGTCTGGGAACAGTCTGGAAAGAGCTAAGCAGTTTAGCATTTATTTTTTGCTTACGCCTAGCTGAGTAAACAAGAGGCTTTTCTACAGTAGAGATAACAGATGGCTTGGTACAGTATCACATACCAAGCATCACGGGCCTAGGATCTCTACAAAATACAATTGCAGGGTTTCTCTCAAAAAGTGATGGTATAGATGTTCATATTTCATAGGACAGCATATTGTGGTGGGCCCATGTCCAGCTCTATTCTCAGCTGAAGAGATGTGGGCTCAAAGACAGATTCCCCTGCCACAGGGAGTGTCTCCCACCACTGACCATTCCACCCCGGTGAGACCATATTATCCTTTCTTCACTGCACAAAAAAAAACCCAACAGAGCATGCTATGTAAGTTGTAAAATAAGAGTATCCTGGTTAAAATGTTATTTGCACAGAACAGAGTTCATAGCTAAAACAAGCAAAAGACTCTGGAATTCCTATGAAAAAATTAAACTAATACTATGCATGCATTTATTAGTTGGGCCTTCCATTGAAGTTGTAATTGTACCTTGTCAGTGATCTCTACCAAGTCCACAATGTGTTTCTGGTGTATTTTATTGCTCCTCCCCTGCCTTAGGAAGTTCTTGTATTTTTGTATATCATTATTTTGTTCCTGTGAGTCCTTGGAAGAAAAGTATTTGAATAATATTAGGAGGTTGTCTTCCCTCTTGCTGGGAGGGAGAAAAGATAATGTGTTTTTTCCACATGTAAGAACTCGGTGATCCCAACAAAAACACCATTGCAAATTGGAACTACAAACAACACAGAACTCCCTGTGTGCTCTGCTAACAGCAGTGATGAAAATCTTTACTAATGACTTTGAGAGACACCCTTGCAATCTCTGACATCTGAATCAGCTAGAGAGATAAAGTTACAGCAAGTCCTTGGTTAACATATTCTCAACAAAATCCTCCAAAATTCAATTACCATGGAAACTACTTATCCTTAAGGCACTAAGGATCGCTGAAATATTTTCTCCTGACAAAAATGGGAGTGAAAAATACCAGGTTGTGCATAATGAGGCCTTTGATCTTCCATTTACATCTGTGTTAAGTAGAGGTAATCTCAGTGAAGCAAGTTGAGTTGAAGAGCAATATCCATTTATAGGACAGAACAAGGTTTAAGACTTTGGCTAGTTCTGGTTATTTCTAGATGTTTTTCCATTATCTTCATATGTTTATGGTAACAGATTTCTTTTTACTTTTCTAGTAAGAGAAACATAGTAAGGCAAAATAGTATTTGTATATAAAATTAGTAGATAACTCCAAGCTTTTAAAAATTCCTTGGGACAAATGGAAATAATCAGTCCCACTGAGGCTCAGAATTTTGTAGTCTGAGATTAAAAATGCCTCTAATTTAGCCCAGCCCCCCCCAAAATCCCTGAGTACTCAATTTCTATAAAACAGAGTATGGTCTTTGCTGTGCACAAACATTTGCACGCCTCTAAGCAGGACAATCAGCTCAGGAGCAGAAAACCTCATTTCTAGCTTTATGTAAATTGAATCTCTAATTTGCAGTAGGAGTTCTTGTTTCATTTTAACATCAAGTTTCAACAGATTTTAATGGAATAAAAATAACTTTTGGGAACATTACCATCCAAATCCCTATGGTTCCTGTTAAGCAGATGCTCCCCACCACTTAAGTCACTGTGAGCAAAAGTCTGAATGTGGAATGTGTGCACAGGGTCAGGCATTGCTGGGCCACAATGTTACTGTCACGTAAACCCATCAGTGTGTCATGTTTGCTCAAAGCTTCCCATTTTGATAGTTAACCCTGATTATAAATTACACTGCAGCAATAATTCCTATTAAATACTTTGGTCTTATCTCTATGTTTTCCGCCTGCTGAGCAATGAGCCTGGCCCTGCAGGCCCCTGAAGGTCAGCAGGCTGTGCCACTCCGGCCCTGGGCCCAGCCATGTCCACGGCACACCAAGCAACCATCACAGTGTGCCCTGGCAGCCAGGAGGGACAACCCTGTCCTGGGGGGCATCAGGCACAACATCGTCAGCTGGTCGAGGGAGGGGATTGTCCCGCTCTGCTCTGCACTGGGCAGACCTCGCTTTGAGTACTGTAAGCAGTTCAGGGTGACACAATCACAGAACCATTGAATCATCAGGTTGGAAGAGACCTTCAAGATCATCCATCCTGCGTCCAACCAACCACCTGGCACTGCCCCTGTAACCCCTAAACTACTAAACCAGATCACCCAGAGCCAGATCCAGATGCCTCTTGAACACCTCCAGGCATAGTGGCTCCACCACTTCCCTGGGCAACCTGTTCCAGTGCTTGACCACCCTAAGAGTGAAAATAATATTTGTAATATCTAATCTGGATCTTTTCTGTCTCAGCTTAAGGCCATCTGCATCGAACTGCTTTAGAGCTGTGGCTAGCCAGAACTGTGAGCAACACAGACTTGTGCCCCAAGTTTGGGCCTCTCTGGTCATGGGGGATGGTAAGAACTCCTGCCTACATCGCAGCCTGTCAGCACAGCCGTGGACAGCTCTCATCAGTTTTGCACTGGTGGCTAGCAAAGTTCAGATTGTTCTTGTATCTTGGTATCTGGAATCCAGGAAATCCCATGAGTTCCTGCCAAGAGATGGAGGAGAGAGAAGGAAGGTGAATGATGCTGCCAAGCCCTGGAATCTTTAGCACTGCTGGCTTTCATGATTTATTGAGGTTATTGCAGTAACTCAGCACCAGGCATTTAAAAATCTCTATGGATTTCTGCATTTAAATAACTAAATTCTAGACTAAAATAAAAACAACCAACACCTCCCTGCCCCCAAACTGTTCTTTCAAAGGTCTGAGCTTGCTGCTGTACTGCTCTGCCCATCCTGATGGAAGGGACTCAGACCCCACACCTCAGCACTGGCAGGAGGTCATATAAGGAGGATAGGAAGCTACTAGAAAGTGTTCAAGGGAGAGCTACGAAGGTGGCGAAGGGCCTAGAGGGGAAGATATATGAGGCTGAGGTCACTTGGCTTGTTCAGCCTGGAGGAGACGGAGGGGACACCTCATTGCCGTCTACAGCTTCCAGATGAGGGGAAGTGGAGGGGCAAGCACTGATCTTTCTGTGACAGGACCTGAGGGAATGGCGTGAAGCTGTGTCAGGGGACGATTACGTTGGATATCAGGAAAAGGTTCTTCCCCCCCGAGGGTGGTGGGGCACTGAACAGGCTCCCCAGGGCAGTGCGCACAGCACCAAGCCTGTCGGAGTTCAAGAAGCATTTCGACAACGCTTTCAGGCACACAGTGCCATCTCGGGGATGGTCCTGTGGAGGGCCAGGAGTTGGACTCGATGACCCTTGTGAGTCCCTTCCAACTCCGCATATTCCTCGCTCCTGCGACCCCCGCGCGAGCACTCCCTCACAGCCCGGACCGCCCCCAGGGCCCCCGCACTGCCCCGCCCGGCGCATGCGCGGCACCGCCCCGCGGGGCAGAGGCCAAGGGTCAGGGGTCGGTCGGTGCTGGTGGCAGCGCCATGGCGGAGCATGGCGGGGGCTCTGCCGAGCGTGGCGGGCCGCCCGCCGAGCAGCGGGTGCTCTTCCCGCCCACCTTCAGCGTGTCCGAGATCAAGAACAAGCAGCGCCGGCACTTCATGTTCCTTCGCTGGAAGCAGCAGCAGAGGAAGGTGGGGCGGGCTGTTAGCGGGCGGCGGGGGAGGCTCGGGTCTGGCGGATCTGGCTAACGGAGCGCTGTCCCTTCCCCGCAGGAGAAGCTGGCCGCCAAGAAGAAGCGGAGGAAGGAGCGAGAGGCCCTCGGAGACAAAGTAAGGGCTCCGGCCGCAGCGGGCCGGTGTGGTGGCGCGGCAGGCCCTGCCCCGCCGCAGGCGGGCACGGCGTGCCTGGGGACTGCAGCTCAGCCTTGGGCTGGGGCTCCTCAGCTTCGTGAGGGGAACGTTATCTCCACAGACTTCAGTGAAACGGAGCAGCGATTACAGTGAGGGTGATAAAACACTGCAGCAAGTTGCCCGGAGAGGTGGTGGATGCCCCATCTCTGGAAACATTCAAGGCCCCGTTGGATGGGACTCAGAGCAACCTATCTGGTTGAAGACGTTCCTCTGCTCACTGCAGAGGGGGGCTGGATGTCCTTTAAAGGTCCTTTCCAACCCAAGCCATTCAGTAATTCTATCATCTCTGTGGTTGCTGGCTGTGGTAGCCTTCAAAAATGCTATTGTCTAGCAGAAGTATCAATTAGCTAAGAAATATTGTTTCTACTGTGTTAAAGATGCTGTAATCAGGCAGGGTGAGTTTTAAGCTAATGGCATAAAAGAAGGCCCTTCCTGAAAAGTCATCTCTGTCTGCTGTGATTGCTATGGCATTTGTGTTGATGCTATTAGGAATTATACTCTGATAGTAATTTCTATATAAATTAAAACAATCAGATGTGACCAAACCATGCCCAGACCAGTTGTCTGCTGGATTCCAAGCCTAGCCATGAACAAGGGTTTTGCTTCCTTTACTGACCTGGTTGAAGACAGTCAGATGTGAGTTTCTGTATTATAGTAGTCTCATAAGAGTAGTGTAAGTTAACGGGGTAAACATTATAGGCTGTTGGTCATTAAATTGTAGATGTCAAGGTTAAAAAGTGTTATGTTGAAAGTAGCGCTCTTTTCTTCCATGGAAGAAAAGGGGATAGAAAGTTCTCCTATTTTTTCAGGGGGTTTTTGTAACTTTGTTTCTTAATTAGACTGAAGTTAAGCATTGCTACTGTTCTGGTGATGCTTCTCCTCCATGTGATGCTCTCTGATGTCCCAATACCTGCGCATATTTTTAATCAAAGTGATGTTGCAATGTCTTTTTCTAAAAGTGGCATAAAATAAATAATGCTTCAGTTCTGTGTAGAAATATACACAATATCATGGTAGTATGAATGTGGTATTTGCAATATACTTAATAATTACATGAACGTGTTATGTTAATAAACTTATGTATTTTAGGCACCTCCAAAACCCATACCAAAGACTATTGAAAATCAGCGAGTGTATGATGAAACCACTGTAGATCCCAATGATGAAGAGGTAACTGCTTTAATTTCTGCATGTACTATTAAGTTAAATGGTTTTTTTCTAAGAAGGGACATAAACTGGATTGATGAAACTGAATATTCAGCACTCTCCTGTTAATGTGTTGATGAATTACTTTATACACATGATGGCCTCACTAAGAGGTGATGTCATTCTTTCATTATCTGTGCTAAATAATTGCCTTTTGCATTACTGGTATTGATAGTACGAGCTGCCCATGTTCATCACACTGGATTCTTAAAAACGTAAAAACCACATGCCTTGGGATGATTAATTACGAATAGATCTTGTGAATTGAAACTTACATCAGATTGAATAATTGTTCTTCAATTATTTTGTACATGGTGGAATAACAAGACTTCTGTTCTTCCAGGTTGCTTTTGATGAAGCAACTGATGAATTTGCACCATATTTCAACAGACAGACAGTTCCCAAGATTCTTATCACAACATCAGACCGACCTCGTGGGGTACGTGTTTTACTTGGAAAGTTATGAGCAGTCAAGTGGTTATAAGACACCAAGGTTTTTATACTGTGATTGATAAAATAAAGCTGAAAATAGTAGCATTCATGGTGGATTTTTTTCAGTTGTTTCATTCAGTGATTATCAATAACCTTGTATATATGTATGTAATCTTTGGCTTCTCTAGTAGTGTTTTGTTTCCTTCATAATAAAAAACAACCTCATGCATATGTTCTTGTATTGACATGATCTACATTGCCTAGCTGGAGAAATTACTGATGTTTGTGAAAAATCGTAAAAAAATATGCTTTAAAAGTAGAAGAAAAAGTACACCTCAGAGAATTTATCCAAAAACACAGACATCTTCAGTTCCTGAAGAAATAGTCATACTGTACTTTGAAATGCTGTGAACTTTGTGTCCTTAATAAGTAATGAGTTTGGAAGTTATGCTTTTGAAATTTTCCTGCTTTTCTATGATTGAGGGAAGAAAAAAGAGTCCTTAAAAAAAAAACAAGTGCTGGTGTGCTGCAGTCTTTACTGCAAATGAATGTTTTTCCACTAATTGAATGAAGTAGTTTAATAACTTATCTTCAAGCATTTATGGAGATACTGGAAGTAATGTATCCTCAAGGATGGTAGTTGAAATGAGCAACCTTTCATTCCCCTAATAATTGAATTTGGCACTGAATTTACCACTCTGCAATTTAATTCACCTGTTTTGCAGAGAACAGTGAGATTCTGTGAACAGCTGGCTACTGTTATACCCAACTCACATGTCTACTATCGAAGAGGACTGGCTTTGAAAAGAATTATTCCACAGTGTATTGCAAGGGACTTCACGGATTTAATTGTCATTAATGAAGATCGCAAAATACCAAGTAACCTTTTGTCTATTTATTGAGGAAAGAAAAAAATTCTGTAGAGTGCATCAGAGATCAACTCTATGCTGTTTTCTTTTTACTGTGCAAACTAGAGAGTTAAAAATCACTGTGCCACCCTGACTATCTAATGGCTTATGGAACTTGGAATTATTAAAGAAAGTGTGTAGATAGGTTGGCTTTTTATTTTCTTTTAGTCTATAATGCATGGATAACCATTGTTATTATTTTAGTAAATTTAATAGTTTGATTAATTAACAAGTTTTTCTGACCAGGAAGTTTCATTTCATTTTGCTGACTAGATGAAACATTACCAATTAATAACTGGGAAAGTGATAGAGGATAACTCTTGTTAGCTATTGAAACATAATGTAATGGACATACTTAGAACACTAGTTATCTAGTCTGTGAATGTATGTTTGAAAATATAACAAAACCTTGTAAATTGGGCATGGATTATGGATATAATACTCTAATGTTGCATTTTGCATAAAATGTTCCTCTGTAAATTACATGTTGAATTTTACCATCCTTTTTTTTTTTAACTTGGTGCACAGACGGTCTTGTTTTAAGTCATCTGCCTGATGGTCCAACTGCTCATTTTAGAATGAGTAGTGTGCGTTTACGCAAAGAAATAAAGGTGAGACTCCAAAAAATTTTGAGAAATGGACAGTCTGTTGCTTAATGATGAATGCATTCAGTCTACTTGAACTATCAAAACTGCACTTTTGTATGATTCAGCCAATCTTGTTAAAAGTGGTTTTTTTGTAAACTAACGGGTTTAAGGACTAGTGTATTCGACTTCCATTTTTGAGGTTATTTGCTGAACTTCTGTAACTGTCTGCCATGTATTTTTATAATCATGCCGATAAATAGCAGCTACAATTTTAGCTAAAATTCCCTACATCAATAGGGAATACCCCATGTATAGCATGCAGACAATAGGGTATATAAAAATCAGCAGTAGAAAAGGTTTCAATAGATGTAGGATTTTTTCAAGACTAGGAACTACTACTTATAGCTCTGTCACTTCTTCTGTAGTAAATACTGCTTACTTAGCCCTAAATAATTTGCAGTAAAATGCTCTTAATTGGTATTAGTACAGAGGGATATTCCTCTGACAGGTAGACCGCACTATTTGCTACACCCAGTTCGGCCAAGAGTAGAAATTTGCGCAGGAGAGAGGAAATGTAAAATTATTTGTGCTTTTTCATTTAATTTATATTGTTGAACCAAAGAATCTTATGTTACCAGCTGCTCCTTTACTTGTTTATGAATTTCAGTTGTGTTTGAAAAAATGATTAGGGCATGTTATCAGCCCTCTCGTCTTCCTATGTCAAACTCTACTCTGATAATACATTAAAATCCTTTTGCATTCCATCTGTTCTTTGCATTCTTCTTTCACTGCAGCGAAAAGGGAAAGAGCCCACAGAGCACGTCCCCGAAGTGATCCTGAATAATTTCACAACGCGACTCGGCCATTCCCTTGGCCGCATGTTTGCTTCTCTCTTCCCACATGATCCTCAGTTCATTGGAAGACAAGTAGCTACATTTCACAACCAGCGAGACTACATCTTTTTCAGATTCCACAGGTGATGTTTTCCACAAAACTCATTTACAAATGAGAGGGAGTACTCTTGTAACTTGATTCCTAATTTTAATTCTTTTCTTCCCCAAGATATATATTCAAGAGTGAAAAGAAAGTGGGAATTCAAGAACTTGGGCCACGTTTTACGTTAAAGCTGAGGTCACTTCAAAAAGGAACTTTTGATTCCAAATTTGGAGAATATGAGTGGATTCATAAGGTATGTCTAAGTAATGATAATCATTCTACTTGGATAGAATAAATCTGACATGAAATCTAACCATAAATCTTGTCCTAGAAAAGCAGTATAAATGCAGTTGTCAGTACAGAGGTGTCTAACTGAAGTATTTAGAGCTTTATTTCTCAAAATAGACAAAGCAGAAACATCTGCTGTATTGCAAGTCAAAATTAAAAATAGAAAGGATGGTGAATATACCATGACTACTTATTTGCAACTGCACTGTAACTGACACATTTCACTGCCTATCCTGCTATAAGCTGGAGTGATCATCCTTGTTTGTATCCTATTGCATGAATTTGTTGGTAAACAACTTTTCTTTTAAATTTTAGCGTAGAGAAATGGACACAAGTAGAAGAAAATTCCACTTATAAGTGAAATCTGCCAGTTGCTGGTGACCAGGAATACAGCAGCTGCTTTCAACTATGGACGATTTCAGACTTCTAACGATAATGATTCTGAACAGTATCTGTCTGCAGAAAGACAAACTGCAAACAATAACACTTTCTACAGCAGCAGATCAAGTAGGATGTGTCTTTCTTCCTGTTTGGAGTCAACATGACAAGGACAGTGACTTTTTCCAGTTGAGCAGGAAAAACATGGCAATGTTTGAGCAGCCTGTAATTTAGCTATCACTGAAGGTTTGCCATGATTGCTGCTGTGCTGTAGAAGTAGATTATGCTTCACAACATCAAAGACAGCAGATACGTCGGTTAGAGAAATTCTCAAAATAAAGTATTTCTAGTTTTACAGTTCTGTTTTGATTTTTCTCTGTTAACCCAGACATCTTCAATTAACAGGTAAGAGACAAATGTTTTAAACCTCTTTCTAACTTACAGCATGCTGTTCCCTGACAGTATGGTGATAGTTTTCCAAGAATGTTCTCCTATCTAGAGAACACTGAGAAGGCAGTTTGCAATCCAGGAAGTCCATGGTATTTTATTTCGTTAACATCTTGCATAAAACAGCCATGTTGCTGAAGTTACAAAAATAATATGCTTGATTCAACAGGTATCTCTTTTGTAAATATCATTGACAAGAGGTGTATATACCCAGAGCAGCTAAAAAGAAACAAAGACAGATGGGAAAGAATTTGTAAAACCCCCTTAGAGGAAGTACATAAAGCTATCTCATCTAAAAATGCTGCTCAGTGAATGTGTGAGGTGTCTAAGCAGGATTTTCCCCATTAAAATTTTAAAAATGCTTCTTCAGCATCATAGCTATACTTGAGTTGCTATTACCTGCAAATAAACTACTGTTTTGCCTTAAGTTGGCACATTCACTGGCAGCTAAAAAGCCAAGTTTTCTTTGAGTTACTTTCTTTTCATGTGCAGCTGTAAGTGCTTTTTTTTAATTACTTAATGAATAAGATGGCTCACAGAGTAAGTCATCTACTAGGGTAGAATTACTCATTAAGATAAAAGATAATTTACTCTTTGTCTTTATTCAATGTCTGTGATACGGCACAGCTGTATAGCTGAATTACAAATTAGCAGTCAAAAATTTTTTTCTGTTCTATTTCTGTTATGCTTCTAAGTATAGTATTGCTGAAGCCTCATTGTTCTGTACAACTGTTAGCCTCAGGCAGACTTGCAGCAGCACAAAATATTTAGACACTCCTCTATCTGCTCTCCAGCTGCTGCAGAGGGATGCGGTGACTGGTGAGGTGTCACCACATCCAAAAGTTAATCAATGTCTAACAGTAATTTCAAGACCAGACTAAGTAAAGACACTTTTATTTTTTGCTTGGCATATAAAACTGATTCCCTTATGAAACAGAAATACGGAACTAGCATACAGTTCATTTGGAGAGGTAGATGGTAAGAGGTTTGACGACAGTAGCACTTGTAGAGTTAGATTTGGCACGTTAAAGCTAAGCTTTTGTACAGACTTCAAAACAGGCTGCTCCTTGAGGCATTCTGCTCATACACACATCAGCAAGTAGGATAAGATGGTAAAAGATCTGAAAAACAAAACCAAAATCTAGTTAGACAGGTATCAGTGCTAAATGAAGCAACTCTATTTCTAATTTCTTCAGAGTATGCCATGGACAGCTATTAAGGAAAAAAATCCTCTTTTTCTACAGCTCTTTTATAAAACATTAGTTTAAACAATAAACTTTTAAAACCATGAAACTATCCCCAAAAGTACAATAAGATAATCAAAGCTGTTACAAAAGAACTGAAGCTTAGTTTCTCCAGGCAGCCAAACTACTAGGTGGAAGAACAGAAAAAATTGTTCCCCGTCACTTTGTGCGCACTAAAACATCAAGCACCTACTCTGCAAAGCTGGGAGTTTGCTGTGTAACTAACAAACTACACTTCCTCTTCAGTGAGGTGGTGCTGACTGTGCAAACATGAACGCCATTGGCTCATCGAGAAAACACCAGGAATTACAACTAAGAAACCCCCTCTCTTCAGGAAGTCCTGCAGGAGATACAGCAAAGTAAAGGAATTTTACATATAGGTAGTGTAACTAAAACAGAAACAAGTGTTGCATTCCAAAGGCTGTAACTGAGAAAGAAAATATTAATCCTTTTATGCCCTGTGTAGGTACATATGTGTTAGAGACAGAGGAAACATTATTTCCTGACATCCACACCCAGGAACTACTAGACCTTGGCAGACCTCAATGGGGAACTGTATGTGTCACTGATTAAGTACAGTTTATTTGGCTTTTTATAAGTTATCAATCTGTAATGCTTACAGATAATCTGATTTCTTCCTTGCATTACTGTTTGTAGATGAAGCTACAGTAGTGTGATCACAAATCAGTGTACAAGAATATTTTTTAAATAAGAGTAGTTGGCAAAATTCACAATAGAAGTAACCTTAAAAGCTACAAGAACTCCAAAGCACATTTCAGTTACACTGCTGTAATTCACTGCTCAAAAGAATGTGGGAAGCATCAACTTCTATACTGTTACTACTCTGGTCTTTAAATGAGGTGATTCATGCTAGTACAAACTTTCTGGAAGCTTTCCACAGTCTGTTTGAGGGGAGACCAGTTAACAATTTAGTTTGACTGTGGTCACCTTTCTATAAAGCTGCCTATTAACACTTAAATCTAGAAAACTACAGTTCTTTGGGTGATGTAAGTCAACTACAAAAGCAGAATTTTTCAAGGTTGAGTTGCTATGAGATTTCTAAGGATTGTGATCTACAGTTAACTACTGTGTATTGGGTGCTTTGAAATAATATCTATGCTCTCATCCCCAACAGATCCAAGTCAAGGGGCAACGGGAAAGGGGAACACGATAAAATTATCATGCATTTACTGTGGTCAAAATAATTAAGTTATTGTGACTCTCAAGAGTTTTGGTGGGACTACTGTGGATCTAAAGCTCACCCTTCTAAAGAGGTTAGCCTAAAATCTAATCACCAGAATTCTTAGGGAATGCCAGATGAGTGAGTAGTCTCCATGGTGATAGCAGTAGTGCTAACGAACCTAATGAAAGTTTTTGAATGAAAATCCAAATAGTTTCTAGTCGTTTAAACTGCTACCCATGTAGTTTTTTTGAGTAGAGTATGGGCCTTGCTACCGTTCTTGGACTACATACTTTTTTCTTTTGGCTTGGAAGGCACTTCATCCCCCCATAGGAGTCAGTGCTCTTCTTGGGGACCACCACTAATCTGTCATTTTTAAAAGTTTAAGAACTGAAGTCTGCTTTATCTGCCACAATCAGGTTTCACCACATATGCTGTCAGGTGATTAATCCTATGTGAGAAAAGGGAAATAATACCCTTACGGAGAGTAGAATTCCCAACCAGGTTAGTCCAAGGAGCCGCTCAGTAGTAGGTGGCCCCACTACTTTGCTACAGCAACAGAAACTGGCAGAAGCTCTGACAGCAAAGTGCTACTCGTAATACTTACGAGCAGCATGTGTCCAGTACAGAGCTGTGAGCAGAACAGGGGAGGAGGGGGCCCAAAACGGGGATCTATACCAACACCAGCTGCCTAAGTCAGATGTCTTTTCTGAGTGCCTTTCATAAAGGCTGTCTTATTTAAAGGCAGCTATTTTTAATGACAAAAGAGTTTATGAATTGTAATTCAAGAACTTACCACTGAAAGATACTGAAGTAGTTCACATAATTACAAAAAAGAACAAACTTTCTGGGGTCTGAATGGATTCGTACTTGATGATACTCCTGTCAGTAGGGGATCATGTTGCGCGTTCTGCAGGCAGAATTGCTTCAAGTCAGCGGCAGCCTGAGAAACCTAGTCAAAATAACAGGTGGTGTTAGAATTCACTGAACTCTCTTTACTGAGGATGTAACTACATTGAAAAGTATAAGGAATTCTTATGTAGATTTTTATGCAACCATTTTATTGTAATTTTTTTTGTTTGTTTCTTAAAGGCAAGAAGTTGAGGAATATAAGAGTAAGAATCAATCTGTGTGTTTAATTTTCATTTTAAACTTCTGAGCATGAAGGGTGACAGATAAGCAACGTCTTGGAGATGGCTTTATTAAACAGTTGAAGATCCTTGTTCTAGCATAAATAATTTTAAAATACAGCCTAGAGTTTCACATGCTCGACTGAACTGGCATTTCGTCCTCCCCTGGAAAGCCGTCCTTATGATGAGATATAGCGTATGAGGTTTTTGGCAGGCTGTACCTTCCTAAAAACAGAACAGTGAAAAAACTCTTTGTTTTGCTTTTCTTTGCTGTAACTCTGAACTCATAAAACAGAACGACCAAAGTTTCAAAAAGTAGCATCTTTTACTGGTATGTCGTATCTGCAGTTTGCCCAGAGTTCCCCTGGTGTTACGGCCGTGTCTCACCCCGGCACGGCACGAGTTCAATGTACTTTGTGTGTCTGGCGGCGACGTCTCCATTTTACAGCGCTGGGGCCGGGCCAGTCTGTTGTGCGCCCCGACTCGGGCCGCCTTTTCACCAGAGCCCGACGGAAGGCGCCGCTCCCCGGACCGGGGGCACGGAAGGGGCGCGCGGGACGCGTCCATGGCCCCCGGGAGCGGCCCTGGGGCCCTGAGGGGCTGCGGAGAGCGAGGGGCGGACGGGCCGAGCGCCGGGAGGGCGGCGGCGGAGGGGACGCGGCTGTGCGGCCGTCCCGGGCTCGCCCCGGCCAGGGAGCCCCGACGGAGCCCCAGGGTGAAGCCTGGGCGCTCTGCCCCGAGCAAGGTCTGCGGGCCGGGGCAGGTCGGAGCCGGCGGCCCCGGCCCGCCGGGCCCGGGGCGGTGAAATGGCGGCGCGTCCGCCCCGTCCCGTCCCGTCGCGGCTCCGCGCTCACCTTCACGCGGGTCACACTCGCCTCCAGGCGCAGCTGCTGCACCACTTTCTTCATGGCCGCCACGTTGGAGGAGCCCGACATGGCGGGAGCGGCGCGGGCACACCCAGAGCAACTTCCCGGCGCGGCCACAGCTCCCGGGACGGCGGCGCCTGCGCACCCGCGGCCGGGCCGGGCGGGGCCGGGCCCTGTGTGCGCCGGGGGGGCAGACACGCAGAACCGCCTGCCCCGTTTGTCCATTGGGTGGACTGAAAGAGGAAGCGCCATTAAGACCAGGGTGGCAAACCTTGGTGGTAGTATCAAGTAAGTTCCAAGTTTGGAGATTATCTTGAGATGCGATAAATGAAGTTCCTGACTTTGCTCTTGCCAGCAGTTTGGGTCTTGGCTACAGCCTGGAGGATTAGTTTACTGCTCGTAGTTCACTGCAGAAACTAAACCAGGCATGGTGATGAAGCCTCGAGCATGGGATGGACGTCATGTGCTGCAAAGTGCAGCATCTTGTATTTGCCAGGGACTAATGGCAGGCACACGTGCTGGAACCTGCTGTGCCTTGGTAATAACCAGAGAGGAGATGGGGTATTACAGCCAGGTCATTCATGACAGTTTGTTGTGCTATAGTTGTGCAGAGGCAAATAAAAACACAGGCCTTGTTAAGTAAATGCTTCCCACCGACGTGAGGAAGTCTTAACTCTGCTGCACGACGCCAGGGTGAGACCTGGAAGGACACCTGGAAGGTCTGGTCACCCGTGCCTCGAGAACAGGTGAAACTGAAGTATCAGAGCAGAGCTTTTAAGGGGATCAGGAGATCAGCAAGGGCGTTTAGCAGGCTGAAAATCCAGAGGAGCTTTGTAACCTCTGAGGGGCTGAAGGAGCCTTCGAAGTGAGAACACTGAGGAAAGTCATAATGAAAAGAAGATGGAAACATTTAGCAGCACCTGTTGCAATAGGACAGGGGTAATAGTTTTAAACTAAAAAAGGGTCGACATAGATTAGATATAAGGAAGAAGTTTTTTACAGCGAAGGTGGTGAAACACCAGAACAGGTTTTCCGGTGAGGTGGGAGACGCCCCATCCCTGAAAACATCCAAGGTCAGATTCGACAGGGCTCTGGGCAGCCTGGTCTACTGGGAGGTATCCCTCCTCACTGCAGGGGGTTGGACTAGATGACCTTTAAAGGTCCCTTCCGACCCAAACTATTCTATGATTCTGTAAAAAAGTTAGGGCAGAACCATGCTTTATAATCTATGAAAGTACATTGCTGACATGGTTGCCCAGCAGAGTCAGGTTTCGTCAGCACACTGCATTTGGCTGGCACAGTGTATTGTTTGCTGCAGTTCACAATAATTGTCACTTTATCAGATACAGACCCTGCAAGAATCTTGTTTTGTGGGGATTTACGTCTGTGTCTTTAGGAAAACAGTAAAATTGTGTAGAAAAATTATATACAACTGAAGTATTTTTATGAAAGGGGAGAAAATGGTAAGAGGAAATGCTCTAGAGCAGATTTCTCAAAGCTACAGGGCTGTGATTTAGCAATTCCCTCAGTTACTTAGGTAATACTCACTTGTGTAGAAGGTGTGGTTGAGTCTGTTTGCACTTAGCTGAAAGCTTTCTGCCTCAGCACAGAAACAACTTTTCCATTTTCATAAACAGAATGAAGAACAGTAACTGAGAAGAAAGGATATTAATAGAGTAACTTCTCTAATAACAGATTATCATGAAACTCATCCTTAAAGAATGTTTTGATCAAAAAGAAAATTAGAAAGCCCATCTGGCATTTGCCGTGGTCCAATAAAGAAAGGTACCAGCATGTTGTTCAGTCAAATGAGACCTCAAACATCACAGGTGAGAGTTTTTGTACTTTTGCATAAATATTTTTTAGATTTCACAAATAAAAATAAAGAAATATTAAAATAAGGTTGTAGAAGACCTGAGAGGAAAAAAATGTGCTTTTAACATAGTATATATATAAAGCACAGTTTTCTAGTTCATATTAATTAATGATTGCAGAAATGTTTAATATAGCTTATTTGTGTGGCTTGTAGTTACAGGGAAGTGTGTCATCTTTGTCGATACTTTGTCTGATTTTCACTAAAATTATCACTAGATATTAACAGTGCCACAACTACCACAGGTCTGAACACACTCTCAGTGAACCTTGATCAGAACCAGCTTAATTATTCTTTTTGCAGGAGCATTTCTGTGCTTTCAAGGTAGCTAATATTATTAACAACTGTCAGAAATATTTTGAAATTTTTTTTCTTTCTGACAATGTCAAGTCATGGTGCTGTTTGGATCAAGCTTTCAGAGCTTTGCATTTTTTATGAGATAAACAAAGGTAGGCTTTCAGCTGAGAGATTCTTGACACTCTCCAGCGTATCAACTGGTTTTGGTAAGATCTGTGCATTGCTGTCACAGTGTTCTAATGTGACTTATTTTGATGTTGTCAGCTGGCATTCAGTCACAAATTGCTCTGTTCATGGCTGTCATTATTGTGAGATAGAGCTCCACTCTTCTAGTCTGTGTGCTACTATCAAAGGAACCATTCCTGCCTACAGAAATTGGAAGTCCACCTAAACAGAACAAAGTGTATAGGAAGAGGATTATAATACATCTACAGTTGTGATCATCTGTGCTTTTTTTAGTTGGTGGAGCTCCACGTTTTTTATGTCCCAGCAGAAGTGTGGAACTTCAAGCTGAATACAGTTCCTGTAGCTCTTACTAGCAAATTTGTCTCAGCTGGATTTATAAGGTGAGTGCGGTCTTAGTTTTCATGTACGTGGTAGGTCCTTCGCGCCGCCCTTCAGTCATTTAGTCCAGCTGTTGCTCTACAGAGCACAATTAACATCTGTAAGCAGAAACTTGCTCTCAAATTAAATTTCTGGAGGGTAAGTGGTGCATTATGTTTATTTGTACTGTATCAGGCTTAGCTCTCTTGCAGTCTTTGATGTAGACCATTGAAACGCACTTCCAGAGCAGTGATAATATTTCTGCAGAATAATTTATGTTGTAAAATCATAGTCGTATATTTTTTCTGTCTCCTTGAGCCTGATTGTCAAAATCTTGAACTCTTTGGCAAGGGGCCAGCTTTAAGATAGTGGCTTGATGAAGACATGATAGCCTGTCAGCTTCCAGGAACAGGAATTTTGTGATCTGAGCTCTCTCAGTCCAACGAAAGGGCTGAAGCCATGTTTCTCAAGGGCAAGCGTTACAGCCCATGAACCACCAGCATATATTCTTTCCTCTTCAGAAATATTTCTGAAAGGTTGCACACAACACTATGTGTTCTCTCTGTTTAAAGGACTTAGTGAAAGAATACCCTGGTTCCCAGCCATAAGCTCAAACCTGGCACAGAGAGTTGCACTTTTAATATTTCATAATTTTGAAAGTTTTATTTATACTCCTAAACACTTTACTCACAAAATCTGTGTATGTGTAGTGTGGTAAGAAGTTATAGAAAAATCAAATAATGTAAATATATATTAAAACAAAGCTTTTACATGCACTTTGTTTCTGTGCAAAACCTATCAATTCAGCTTAAAGTGCAGGGAATGTAGGTTTTAATTAATTTAAATTGAGGCTTGTAGTATCCATTTAAGAGAATGTTCTTTGTAGCTGAAAAGATTGACAGTGGTCAGGTATGAGCATGTAGGGCAGAACGTATTAATTCTTGCAGCTGCTTTTGTTGAAAGGCTCCTCAAAACCAGAGAAAATAAGTGCTGTTCTAGTCTGCAGCAGAGGAACAAAATACACATCTGGAGTGGTAACTTCAAATCATTTATTGTGGTGGACATCGGTCACTGCCCTGTGTTTTCTAGTGTAAATTTATGTCACTGAGGCATCAAATTAAATTAGGATCCTCACTGATTTCAGTGGGTTTATATCAGCCTGGGTATTGTTGCTTGCTAATGTGTCTTAAATTATTGCTAAAAACCACTTCTCATTATAATCCAGGAGAGGGAACTCATACTCATGTGGCTTGGGCATTGTTGACAACTCTGTTGTTCAGTCAGCTTGACAATCCTAATACTGTCTGAGTCATCTTAACAAAGGATTCCTAGGTCAAAGTACAGACCACTTCCATTAACCACAAAATTAGAGGAAAATATTAACTGTGTAATTCCCTGTGGTCCTGAGTTCTCATTCCCATGAACGTGATTTCTCAGCCTCTGTGATCTTTTCCTCATTCCTCACCACAGAAGCCATACTTTTCTTATTTCTAGATGAGATGGCTGCAATGATCTCTACTTTGCATTACTTTTAAAGGAACACCCTGAAGAAAATGACTCTGATGTGACTGTTTTCTGCTAGCCAGTGGCAGCAACTAACAAATATATTAGTGTACATTCCTCGCAGCTGGACTGGCAAATAATGTTTAGATAAATTTCTGCCCTATTTCTCAGGCTCTGTATACCTAGATAATTTTCTCCCATGATGCATTTTATTTACTTAGATGTTTTCACTGCTGTTCGTAAATGCCTTAGGTTTAGGTTTCCTTGCTGGTTTGGACAGACCTTACCAGTGAAGGGTGTGCAGTCTTAGAATTGCCTCTGAAAGAGCTTGCATTTATTTAGTTTTGGAAGACCACTCAAGGAGCATATCTTCTCTGAGACACTAGCTTGAAGAAATTATAGCTCATGAGAGATATTTGAATTACAGATCATCTGTGTTCTCACGTAAGATCGTGGAAGGATGTGTGATGAATTATGTATCCATCTTTCACATATGTCTTCATACATTTGAAATAAAGGATGCTAAGACTTTTATCTGCAGCAAATGTGGGAAAAATGGCTGGGAAAGAAATAAGCAGGAGCCAAACGTGCAGAGACCAAGTAGTGTGGCCTAGATGTGTCCACTCTGCAGACTTTGATCTCCTTTGCTGCATGCCTGTGCTCCAAAGCAGTTTTATGATCTTGAGGCTCCTCTAAGTCCAGAGTGTTTGAAATAATGCAAAGGAAACATTGTAGCCCACTGAAGTACTGTGTTCATGAGATGAAACTTAATATTTTTACTACATACTTAGGGTGTGACATGAAGGCCTGTAGGCCTTCTTGAAAGTGCAAACAAACCTTGACAGGTTAATGAAGACCTATTTAAGTGGAAGACACAGCACGTTCTTGTGCATAATGTTTACTGAGAATGGCATGTGCTGTCCCCCCACGCTGTGTCTG